CCTGTGGTACTGAAGTCGCTTTCGACATAAAGCAGGTTGGCTTCAGAACTTCCTCTCTTTTCTCCCGAGACCAGCAAGCTGCAGTTGGCAGTTTACTCCGAATGAAAGCATTTTTGCCTAACACCTCACCGCTGCTGAATACACTGAGAAAAAACAATCTCCATGAAGTAGGACTTGATCGATATCTTGGCTCCTCCTGTTTACGAATCGACAAAAATTTCTTACATGATAGACCAGCCAAACACAAAGATATATCTTGCCTTCCTCGAGAGTCATCACTAAACCGTTCATGACCTTGATGAATACTTCCACAAGCAATTAAAGACATCTATATTAACAATGCACCTCGTTTAGCATAGCGGGACGGCTGTACACGCTTGAAATCGATTGATATTTCCAGGAGTAATTTACGAGATGTCATCACAAGCACCACGGATATAAAAAACGCAATCGACTGCGCATGTCTCCGATCTTGCATCCGACAAATTTTGGCTTTTTCACGCTAATGTAAAGAATAGGCTGCTGCCTCGCTAGGGCTCGCCAGCAATAATTCATGAAACTATTTTTAATCACCTGGTGATCCTTGCAATCTTATAATCTCCGAGCGGTGCGATTTGGCCACGAGTCTCTTTTTTTCTCGCTTTAGTAGATAACCAATTGCAAGGAGTCTTCAAGGATTTCAGTTGTCATTTGCAAGGCTTCAAGTTTTCATTAATTATGGCCAGGCTTAACTGGTAAATAAAAACCGGTTTTTTTTCCGCGCAAGCGAAAAAAGACAAAGAGTCAAGGTCACCTTACTTTTTCTCTTTTTGCGTCATTCAAAATGTTGGAAAGTGTACGTTACATTTATTAATCTATTACGTAACCAAACCGCATGTGGGCAGCACGTGTCTTATCGCCCTACATATGGTCCTGTTCCACGTGCTTAGAATGAGACGTGGTGTGTGTTTTCGTGAGAGTTGTGACAGGGAGTTAACTGGAGTGTAATAGCAAAATCGAACCAAGAAAAAAAATCGTGAGTACGCTAGCTTTTGAACGTTTTCGACACAGTGGCGACCCTGCCAGGACAGCGTTGGAAATCATGGAGAAACAGATTGCCGAACTTGAGGGCAAATTGAAGACGTTGAATTTTCGCTTGAAGAAGACAGGAGATGTCTTATAGAAAGACGACCGAACGGCCTTTGAGAGGCACAAAGTTTCCGTTGAAGCCCTAGTGACCACGGTAGTGAAGTTGAAGGATTCCATTGAGGAACAAAAGTTCACGAACGCCGAAGACGACGAAGCGGTACAAGAATGGGCCGACGAAATCGAGCTAGTCATTAACGAAGGAGACGCCTGTATACGCGAACTGGAAGAACGAATTGAGCAAATCGATCGTAATCTGAAACACGCAACCGTGCTCCATGAGCACAAGAGAGAAGTCGAACTAGAGAAAGAGAAAATGGTGCAACAACAAGAAGCTATTAATCGAGCACATGCGGAAGAATTGGAATTTTAGAAGAAGAAGTTGGAGCTCAAACAAGCCTTGCCGTGAATTCTACGGTGGATCACAACCGACTCTGCGCCCTAGATGTCTTAGGACTAGAGGACAAACTATCTACTCACCAGAGCGACGTCCACGAAGAATTTAAGGAGCAACTGGCCAGGAGTCCAGACGGCCGATACGAAACTGGACTACCCTGGAAAGGGAACTGTCCTGAGTTGCCCAATAATGGTGCGGGCAGTGTGCGCAGAGTGAACTCTCTTCTACGGAAATTAAAGAGAACTGATATGCTAGAGCAGTAGGACGACATTATTCGGGAACAGTTAGAAGAAGGTGTGGTTGAGAAGGCACCAACAAAGGTAACAGGCAAATAATTCTACATGCCCCACCGAGCAGTAATACGCGACAATGCCGAATCAACCAAGCTACGAGTGGTATATGACGCCTCGGCCCGTGCGTATGACGGTGCGCCTTCTTTGAATGAGTGTTTACACACTGGTCCCTCACTACAGAATGAGTTATGGAATGTTATTGTCCGCAACAGATTCCATCCTATTGCAGTTGCCGGAGATATGCGAAAGGCCTTCCTGCAGATACGTGTTAAGGAAGCTGAACGTGACGCATTGAGGTTCCACTGGATTAAAGACAAATCGACCGAAAAACTAGAAGTGCTGAGGTTTACGAGAGTGGTGTTTGGTCTTGTTCCTTCTCCTTTGCTACTCAATGCCGTGATACAACAACACCTGGAAAGTGTGCAGTCCGAGTACCCAGGAAATGTACAAGAAATTAAGAACAGTCTGTATGTAGATGATTTGATTACCGGAGATACTACCATGGAAGGTGCGCAACAGCTCAAACATCATGCAGTAGAGATCTTCAATTGTGCAAGGTTCACCTTGCACAAATGGCACTCAAACGTGCCAGAACTAGTAGGTGACTGCACCGATGACGAGCCTTCGTTTGCTAAACAACAACTTGGTGCATCGTCAGCTCGTGAAGAGTGCAAACTACTGGGACTCAAATGGGACAAAGGGGATAACACTTTACATGTTTCACTCCCATCTCCGCCTGCTACATTGACCAAGCGGGGCATCCTCGCCAACTTAGCGAAGATTTATGACCCGTTAGGACTTGTGTCACCTGCAATGTTAGAGGGGAAACAAATCTATCGGGAAACCAGTGAGATGAAGTTGAGCTGGGATACCCCACTTCCCGAGGGGATTGCGAAAAGGTGGCTAAAATGGGACAAGAATGCACCGGATGATGTGTACTTTCCTCGCAGTCTTGTTCAGTACCAGGAACCGGTCGACAATATTAAACTTCATGCATTTGGTGATGCAAGTATTCACGGTGTGTGTGCTGCTGTGTATGCTGTGGTTACACAGGTGTGTTTTAGGGCGCAGAGTCGGTTGTGATCCACGGTAGAATTCACGGCAAGGTACGCGTTGAGCATGTAAAGATGAAATAAACAATTTTTAAAAATCGAGTTTCCAGATGGGATTTGAACCCACGACCCTCCGTGATCTAGTCGGATGCTCTAACCACTGAGCTACAGGAGACTCTATGGTGAGCAAGGGTCAATTAGTGGGTATTGACTGGAACCGCATCACGCGGCTACACAGCCAAACATCAGCTAGCGCATAGAAGCTCACTAACAGCATCACGCTGTCACATTAAAGCATCACATGCATTAAAGCATCACATGCAGCCAACCAGCCTCCAAAGTGAGCATGTAAAGATGAAATAAACAATTTTTAAAAATCGAGTTTCCAGATGGGATTTGAACCCACGACCCTCCGTGATCTAGTCGGATGCTCTAACCGTCGTGGGTTCAAATCCCATCTGGAAACTCGATTTTTAAAAATTGTTTATTTCATCTTTACATGCTCAACGCGTACCTTGCCGTGAATTCTACCGTGGATCACAACCGACTCTGCGCCCTAAAACACACCTGTGTAACCACAGCATACACAGCAGCACACACACCGTGAATACTTGCATCACCAAATGCATGAAGTTTAATATTGTCGACCGGTTCCTGGTACTGAACAAGACTGCGAGGAAAGTACACATCATCCGGTGCATTCTTGTCCCATTTTAGCCACCTTTTCGCAATCCCCTCGGGAAGTGGGGTATCCCAGCTCAACTTCATCTCACTGGTTTCCCGATAGATTTGTTTCCCCTCTAACATTGCAGGTGACACAAGTCCTAACGGGTCATAAATCTTCGCTAAGTTGGCGAGGATGCCCCGCTTGGTCAATGTAGCAGGCAGATATTGATCAGGTGAATGCTCAAACATCATTGAGCCCTTAATTTTTTTTTTTCCAGGCTTTTTATTCCGCAATAATTTCAATTGTTGTTCACCAGCGTGGATTATTTCAACAGTTTCTTTTTTTAATTACTGCAAGGTTAAAATACGATTTATTTCATTCAACTGAGACTTGGAATGAAATCAAACAGGAAGTCGTCCGTAGGTAGAAAAAGACTTCGGGTTTCATATGTTTAAACGGTTTCAACTTCGCACGATCACAGGTAGCCCAACTAGCACTTTGAACCTCCGTAAAAATATGAAAATAAATTATTATGTAAAGGAGGAAGGAGGGGAACTAAAAACGAGTCAAACGGCCGCAAATCATCTCGGAAAACTCACAAAATACAAAAGAACAAAGATATTGTTTTTGTTCAAAACTATTTCAGTTTTTGGCTTGATAACTGGGGCCGTTCATTCTACTACAAATCCTATTAAAGTTTTGTATATTTTGTTTAGTCAAAAAAATAGGATGTGACGTTTTTTCTCTGTTTTTCTTTATATTGTTGTAATTATTTTATTTTATCTTGCCTCTCATTTGCGTTACGCCTCGTGACCCTTATATAACCGCACACTCGGTCATATGATTTTAAGGCTTTAGTTTTCTCACACGTGTTTGTCGGTGCGCCCTCGTGGTTTGTAAAATCCCCTTTTTCGCTGTTTGGTTCGCACGTGATGTGAGTGTATTTCGCCTTGATGTTCGTTTTAGTCATTCTTTATGTTTATTTTGTTTTTTTAATTCATTTTTCTTTCTCAGTTTTCACCGTTTTGTAACCCGTTTTGTAACCGTTTACAGCCATCGATTGGGGTGGACGATTCAATAAATTTTATACCCAAAAGCGTTGGTTGCCGTGTCAGCCTCAACATATTTACAGAAACTCATTGTGCGAGTTTGAATTATATGTGCTGCCACACTATAATATACGAACATCTTAAGTTCCTTTAGGTATCATAATGTGATCCATAAATATGAAGTAGATATAATTGCTTCGTTGCCTAGTAACCCTGTATCCATGGTTTTCAGCTCCAGGAAGTCCTTGGAATAGCGCGGGCCATTTCTTTTGGGACTCAGATCTTCCTTGCATCAAGTTCCACGTTTTTAAACGCGCGCAACGCTTTTTTGGAATTAAAATAGTCAGTTGAAATTGTGCCTTCATGCTCGCCATCCGCAAGTGCGCTTGTGCATGCTATCACGCCTTTTCGAGGCTTGCTTTTTAATTTTTTTAATTTTTTTGCTAACCTTTGACCTTATCACCTTTTACGAAAATTGTCCAAGGGCATACAGAATCACGAGATAATCAATAAAAATTTGCAAAGCTGGTCACAATATGGTCTGATGAGATGAAATTAATGTTCTAGGCTTGTTTCCAACTTTCAGCGACTCCTTTAAAATCCACATTGATAGTTGTTCAAGCTAATGCAGGCATTTTAAGTGCTCGTTCATAACGCGGTGGAGGGGTTTTGGGGATATTTTCTGACCAGTTTCCTGCTTTTGCAGCTGAATATAAACCATTAATATTTCTGATGGCGGTAGAATAATCAGGCAAATCTGAGGTAATATCTTCCGACCAGATTTCTGCGTCTGCAGCTGAAAATAATCCATCAATGTTTCTGATGGCAGTAAAATAATCAGGCAAGTCTGAGGTTGGACTCGTGAATAATTTACATGGAGAGGCATAATTATATTGCAGAACAGGAGCGGGCGATTTTTCCAAATCTTCTGCTGGAATTGTAGAGACAACAATCGACTCTGCAATTGGACGGTTGAAGCACTTTTTGGTTATCTTGAAATAAACTGCCAGCAGGCCAAAACCAAAGACAATGCACAAAAATGCAAAAATCGACAAACTTTTTTCCGATGATCTTTCTCGAGTGAGCAGAGAAATCACAGCTCCAAAGATGATCACACCAGCTCCAAAAAAAAGAAAAGAGAGAATTGAGAGAATCAAGGCTCTCGTTTTGTTTGTGGTTGATGCACCTGTCGATTCTTCCTCACCATTCGCTGTCTGACGGTTATCTGCCATCGCAAAACAGTCTTTGTCACTCTTTTTTGATATAATACGCCTCTTATTTTTTCTGTTTCGGCTACACTTGTTACCAGATAGACTGTCATAGGCTGTTTGTAGACTAAGTCTTTGAACTTGGCGTGCATAAGGCTCTTTGAACGTTTTGGCAAATTTTCCAGCAATCTATGCCAAAAGTTATTGTATGCCAGACGTTAAAGAACAATCCCGACAATCTAAACTGTATTTCGGTTGCTTTAATTGCATTGGTTTGGCGCAAGTAAAATAAAATTATATATAGAAAATTTCTATGGTCTCATTCATCAGTTGAGGAGCACGTGACTCTTGAGTACGTGATGAAAATAAGCTGACTTTCATGCAAATGATTAAATTTCAAGCACCTCCACTTGAAGTTATTTCTTCAAGGTAGCTTTAATTTATTTAGCTTAAGGAGCTCATTTCTCTTGATCAACCGCACTTTGAAGCTAGAATCATAGTTGTGTGGCTTTGTAGAATGTTACAATATTCTAACGGTCAAAGAAACGTAGTAATCGTTTTGTCGCGAATATGAGACAAGAAAAAATAACTGAGTCTTCTAGAAGACTTCAGATTTCACACTCCAACGGCTTTATCGCTCACTTTACTAAAATTTTGCGTTTGAATTAAACAAAATTTTGTTATTTCCTACCACTTGAGATTAGGACAAACCTGCTGCACCCAGTATCTCTAGCTATATAATTCCATGATTCTATTTATAGTTATATGATACCTTGAAGTACGCACGAATTTTGATCGTTTCCCATTTAGGGACGGAGGGGGGTGTATGAGAAATTTTTTCTACATACATTTTTTAAAAATATACGTCTCTGCAAACATTTTTTTCCAACATCATCTTCGTGTAAACAGTTTTTTAAAATATAGCGCGCGTGCTTGCCCTACATAAGTCCTATTGAGCCGCCATGAACAAAATCTTTATTTACGCACGCCCGTGCGTAAATAAGATGAAGTGAGCTTTTTTTTCTTTTTTAACCTGCCTCGCAGAGTCGCCGTCCTGTTAAGCTGCAATGCAGTTTTCCTTTTCTTTGAAATATGGAAGAAACCATGGAAGAACTGCCCAATTTTTTTTTATCAGCATCGATCTTTTAGGTCCTGATCGAACAAGCAGCAAAAACAAAGCCGTAAATAACTCGCAAGTTGCGTGTTTCGCAAATTTGTCAGGTTTTTTACTTTCAAAACATTTTATAGTGGCACTTGACTTCATTTAGCTTTGATTTTCTCCATTTTTCCCGTTAATTTTGAGCTTTTCATGCACAGTTATCGATTAACTGGATCAAATGCACTCACTTAAACTAAAGTATAGAATGTGGCGTGTTTTTGGCCAGCCATATAGAGGCGTTTGTTTACTTTTTTTGTTCGTTGTGAGAATTTTGCACTCTATCACAATAAAAAAGATCCTCGTTGTCGCTCTGCCAAAAAAGAATTTGTTCATGCTTTTAGCTGTACGTATACCGAGTTATGGATGCAGGCGGGAAGTTTGGAGAGCCTTCAAAAAGCTAGAGTAGCTCTCGGCAGCGCCTCGAGCTACTCTTACGCATTTTTCGTGCTCTCCAAACTTCCCGCGTGCACATCCGTAACTCGATAAACGCACGCTAAGCATGAACGAATTCTTTAACCGGTTACTCTTATCATTTAAAATAGAATTAAAGGTCTTCTTACAAGTATTTTCATTGTAACGTTCAATGCTTGCTAGTTTAGTGCTGACTAAAGCATCGCTCGGTAGTCTTTCCCCGGGAAAATAATAGCCAGCGCTCTTTTCTGGACACACTCCAGTTCCGTCTTGACTGAGAGAGAATGGCAGCGAGTAATAGAACGCCGGTACCGCATAACTAAGTACAGATCGAATGGAAGTGCAATATTCTGAGTCACCTTTTTAATAACTAGACAATTAATTGATTGCATTCATAATTGTAATTATACATTATATTATAGGGTCCTTCTAGTTTTCTTATTATATTCACATATATCTGTATATATATATTCTGTATACGAGGGAAACCCTGACCATGTACACCCCAAATAATCATACATAAATAGAATAAATGTT